AACAAAAACTTCCCAAGAAACACCGTAAGAGGATGTTTTGTGTATATTGAGAATTCAGTTGAAAGGTGGTATTAGGGATCCCATGGTGAAATGAACCCCCAAATGCCCAGTTTGCCACTCACAGACTGCGTAGACCCAGGAGGAAATGCTGCAGCTGCCCTCTTGTGGACAAACTCAAGGTTTTTGTCTCTGCCTCAATTCTCACAGGAAACAATGATCTATTTTCTTACCAGAGCTATTTATGAAATAATCTAAGGGTAATAAAACATTTCAAGTTTTCAAATGGACTTACAAGACCTTCTTGACCCAAAGCAAACCCCTTCAAATCAGTCAATACATACTTTTCAGTTGAACAAATCCCCTGCCTACTCGATTATATTAAAAATGTGGCCCCTTCCACCACACCCCATCTGAGATTTCTGGGAGTACTTTTAAAGGAAATCCTCAAGTCTATACTTTTGTTTGAGGGGGTTTTAGGGCTTAATAGCAGAATCAGATGTAGGAAATAATAACAGGATGAGTTTTGGCACCTCTCAGCTGGATGATCAAGGCTAAGCCACTTAACCTGAAAGCTTAGACTTTATTTTCCCCCTATGTAAGATGAGACTGTTCAAAGGCAACTTCTAATATCCCTTTAGCTCTAAAACTCTATAAATATGTGCTCTGATGGACAGAAAAAACTGCCTTTTGGTTTTTGACATTTCTTTCCTTTCTGGCTATTTAAGCTCTAAAACTAGTGAACTAAAGGGCCTTTAGGGGAATTGTGTGATGACACCTTTGAAAATTTTGAAGGCTACAGGGAGGGTCATAGAACTGCCCCATGGATCTTTTGAGAATTTTTCAGTTTCCTTCTACAAGTACTGAATTAAGTACCTGCTATGTATTACCTATTATTTTAGGCACTAGTGATACAATATTGAAGGAAGAAAGCAAGAATCCTTGCCTTTGAGGTGTTTATAGTTTGAAAAAATTTAAATCCAATTATTTATATGTGGCCTTACACAGTGTGCTTATTTGTTCCTATTGTTCTGAAAATATTAAAGGAAACTTACCTTCACTTTATATATCTCCAAAGATCTTCGAGTTGGAATGGTCTTGAAGCTTAGCAAAACTCCCAGTGGAGTGCTCAACTTTGGCAAGAGCTGAGTCTGGACACAAAACTCTAATTTCAGGGAAGTGTGCTCTTTGGTGAAATTTGCAATGAAAGAGGTGTCTGACTCTGGTTTGGGCATTCTGAAAAGTGCTCTTCTGTGGGCCATTTTTTTTTTTTTTTTTTATCCTAGCAGGAAATTCTAGTAGATTTTGTATCTTTTTGGAGAATGGCTTTTCTCTATTCTGTGTTTCCATTCAGACCATGCCATGGAATGGTTAATTCAGAGGCAAGACTATCTTTTAAATGATGTATAATATTATTTAAAACTTTTTATAAGGCTAAGTTTTTTTGGTTTATCATTCAAGTCCTTGTGCATGCTGTCATGTCTAAAGTAGAGAGCAAATTTGGCAACATTAATTATTTTAGATGTGAGAAAATCAGTTATACATTAATGTGAAAGTTGACTTATGTTATTAGTTGTGTGGATATACACATGTGTGCTATTATCAGGTTACAGGAGCTTTATAGAAATGATTATTCTAGATTACAAGAAGTTCTGGGAGGACCTCTTGATGACGCAAATTTTTGTCCCTGTTGCTTTGGTATTTTTGGAATATCTTACACATCATCTACTATATGTGGCTTTGTTGTAAGTTAGAGTTTGGTTAGATAGAACATTTGATCTCTATTCAACTTGGCAACACAAAGAGCCTGGAGTCCAGTGATTTGTCTTTAGGGCGGTGTTTGGGGAATAACAAAATATTTCAGAATCATTAAGGGTATTCCAAGAGGGAATTTGGGAGTGGTTGAGATGCTTTGTGTGCTTCTAAGAAAGCAGGATGGGAGGAAAATGGTTTTACAATTTCACCAAGAGATTTATAAATATAATCAGAATTACCACAGGTTCATAAAATAAAATGGTAAAGCTAGTAGAACGCTGAAGGCTTTTTCTGGTGTCAGTTTAATAAAACTGTGAAGACCAAAAACAAATCATGTGTGACAAACATTGGGTCATTAATGAGTGATACTAGAGCTTTCTTCCTAGCCAAAGATGCATCTGTTAGGAAGGCTTTTAAATACAGGGTGTGTGATATCATTTTGGTACAAATGGTGACATCATAGATTACTTCTTTAAACATAATTTTCACGTAGAGAGGCTCTAAGGCAGTGGTTCTCAACCTTCCTAATGCCACGACCCTTTTAACACATGTTAAAACCACCTCATGTTGTGGTGGTCCTCATGGTTCCTCATGTTGCTACTTGTAGCAATGAAAATAATTTTATGGTTGGGGGTCACCATAACATGAGGAAACATAAAGGGTCGCGGCATTAGGAAGGTTGAGAACCACTGCTCTAAGGGAAGTCTTGGAAAGAAAAAAGACCAGGGTTCAGAGTACTCTGGGTCAGTCATTTGCTGGGTGTGTGGTCTTGGATAAGTTCCTTAAGACGCAGTTTCCTTATATGTAAATCAAGGCGATTCCTCTTCTGTCATGGGCTTGTTCAGAAAAAAGCTTCATGTCTTTTTCTTTATACCACATCTTTCAGGTTTCTAGGAGAGATTTGCTACACACCTGAGCACAGAGACTGTGGTGAATTAGAGACCTCAGTTCAGACAGCAGTCATCAGGCAATGGTGTATGGCCCTGCCAACGTGTGGGCTGCCCAGTGCCAGATCTTTCAGTTTGGAGGAGCAGTTAAAAATACAGACTTCACTGTGAACCCACTACTGATTTTTAAAACACTGTAAATGTCAAACTGGACCCACTGTACCTGGATTCCAGATGCAGTTAGCTCCTTTCTCATTGCCCACTTCCTACTGGCATGATAGCTTAGGGCTACGTAACCTGGGATGAAATCATAGTCCCATCACCTACTAGATGTGTGACCCTAGAAAGTTACTTGCCATCTCATCTATGAAGTGGAGATGATAATAGCAATTATTCCATAGGGTTTTTGGGAAATAGCAAATGAGTTAGAAAACATAAAGTGCTTACAATAGTGCCCGGGATGTAGTAGGTGCTGCTGAAGGTTTGATGGTATTAGTCTCTTTCATGTCCTCTCACTAAGAGGACACACCTTTCTGTGAAGGCTGGGATGACATAAGGCAGAAGAAAGGAAACGTAACTTTGTTAAATATTTCCTGTGTGCCAGGGATTATGCCAGGTGCTTGGGATGACATTTCCTCATTTAATCCTCATGCAGACCCTTGAGATAGGTTCCATTCACACTTTACAGTAGAGAGAACTGAGACTCAATGAGATACAGAAACTTGTCCAAAGTAGAGTTGGAATTTAGACTTAAGTAGATTTGATTTCATACCCATCATTATACTAGAGAGTTTACCATCCTTGATCCAGGGAGATATATTATGAAACTGATGCTGGTTGGGACCTCTCTCATAAAAAGGGAATTGCCTTCTAAAAGAATCTACTTGGGTCCATATTAATTAGGGAGAGCTTTGCCACTCATAAACCTACTATCCTTGCCAGGCAAGGCATCAGCTCTTTGAGTGCATGGATTGGGTCTTTATCTGAAGCTCCCAGCATATTCGAAAAACTCAAATTAAGAGGGACTCAAAATAAGAGGCTTTCACAATTGGGGATTGTTTGGACATGACGTGCAGTGATAGGTCTGGCCAAGCTAGGTATGAGCTTTTAATTACTGCACTAAGAGACTCTAAAATGTACACGACTTTTGCCTCCATTCCTAACAGTGTTCTTAAGGCATCACTGAACAGAATCAGAGTGGAAGGGAGGTGTGGAGGTGTGTGGGAAGGGAAGGAAAGCATGAGGGAGCAAAGGAGGACAGTGGGAAATGTGTCTGCAGAGATAAGGAGGGCAGGGCTGTGAAAGGCCAAAGCCATTGAGCAAACTTCCTGTCAGCTGCACAAAATGATTTTCAGCTTAAATGAACTTTCCAAATTAGGGCAGAATCAAGAAGCACACACAACAGTTTTTGAAAACCCTTTTCACCTCATGCTGTACTAAAAAACGGTAGTTTTTTATTTGTTTGTTTTGTTTTTTGGTAGGTGGAATAAAAGAGTATAAGAAGTTTACTTAAAAGAACATCTGCTATTACAAATCACACAATGTCTTTCCCAATTAGGGCTTAAGTCACATCCATCTATAACTCTGAAACAAAGAACACCTCTGTCTCTCTGTTGGCTGGTGAAATGCTTTAAAGGAGTTCAGTTTCTCTCTCATCTGAGAAGTTAGAACGTAAGGCTAGTCCTTGCCTGATGGACTCAGATGTGTTAGGAGTCAGCGAAATTGCCAGAGCCACAAACTAAATGATCAATAGGTCTGTTTTTAAGAATCAGGTGGAAAACAAATGGCCGAAAAAGAAATGACAGTTCCCACTCTGTTCCTTTATCACTTTGCTGTCTCCTGCTGGATTGCAGGACTGCCACGTGTGTTGAGTCACCACCTTACTGTGCTCTTCAGCCTCTCCGGGTGAGTGCCCGAGTCGTGAAGGCTCTACTGGCACACCCCGGGAGTCAGGCGTGCCTGCAGACACAGACGGACCTTTGGAAGAACTCCGGATGCAGAGCAATGCAGAGCCCCTCCAGGCAGCTGAGGGCAGTGTCTGCAGGAGCGCTCAGCAGGTGCTCTTCAGGAGGCTTTCAGTCTTGTACCTGCTGGCTGAAGGAGCTCTGGCAAGTTGCTTACCCTCTCTGATCCTCAGGTTCCTCCTCTGTGAAATGGGAATAATCTTAAAACCTAAAGCAGTGCTCAATTAGATAAAAATCATCTTTAATTTGTTTTTGTAATTATTTTTTAAAAATTTGAATTAATACAAGACTACATATGATTAGGTCACATTGCTTCTGTTTGCCAGGAAAAGTCTGACTTGTATTTGAGTCCTTTACCCAAGACGTGTGCCCAAGTCCCCTACATTGTGCCCATTAGGAAAATATGGAGTCCTTCACAAATTTGCGTGTCATCCTTACGCAGGGACCATGCTAATCTCTGTATTGTTCCAATTTTAGTACATGTGCTGCTGAAGTGAGCACTACACGATTTTAAAACGTAAGTCAAAGAGGGATAAAATTAATTTTTTAAAGAAGTAACTTTGCTCCATACTTACTGATTCCCTATGCTAGACTATTTTTTCATTTATACTAAAAGTGAGACAAAATCGCCAGGCCCAAAGAAAAAGTTCACAAAGCTTTGTTTCCGTTCATTCTACAAAGTTTTTGTTTTTCTGACCAGTGGAAAGAAACTACCATTATTGTTAGGTTATTAAATATGAGATGTCTGACCTCCTTAACTACCACCTCTGACAGTTGCTGTCTCTGACTCTTGTTTGATCATTTTGTGAGGGTCCATCCTCATTCTTTCAAATGCATGTTTTGGCTTGTGATTATCTTTCAATTTTTTAAGAGCAATTTTTGTGAAATCATGGATAATTAAAAAGTTCATGTTATTTTCAGTTATGGAACCAGTACAGTAGAGCCAGCTCAAAACATGAATGCGATGTTTGGGAAGGATGAACACATGATACGCTGGTGGTTTGAGAAATTTTGTTCTGGTGATTTTAATCTTGAAAATGAGCTACATGGATGACCCGACACCAAGGTGTTTAAAGATAAGCTGAAAACTGTAGTGGAAGTGAATCCAACTTAACCCATGTGTGAATTAGCAGCAAGGTTTGATATTACTATTCCAGCAATATTGGACCATTTGAAACAAACCAGCCAGGTAAAGAAGCTGGCTAGATGGGTTCCACATGAATTAAACGAGTCTCAGAAGCTTGCTTGGCTTTCTTTGCTGTCATGACATAAAGGTGAACCATTTCTACCCCATCTTGTCATATGTGATGAACAATGGATTCTTTTTGACAACCATTGGCACAATAGTTGGATAAAGATAAAGTGCTGGAATGCAGTTCTAAACTGAATATTCATCATAATAAGGTAATGGTGTCTGTTCAGTGGTCTAGCACTGCTATTATCCACTATATGTCTAGTGCAACCAACTGGATGGAATGGTGAGGATGCTTGTGATTAAGCAGCCCAGATTTGTCAATAGAGACAGAACAATTCTCTTGCAAGACCGTGCTTGACCACATGTTGCACAAACAACGCTTCTCAAACTACAGAAAATGGACTTGGAAACTCTTTGTCATCCACTGTATTCACCAGACTTTACACCAACTGATTACGACTTCCTGCAGTCTTTGGACCACTTTTGGCAAGGAAAAATATGCAGTTCTTAACCAGCTGTGGAAAACCCCTTTCACAATTTCATTGCCATTCCCTCTCTAGGCTTCTTTGCTGCTGGCACACACAAGCTAATGTTAAGGTGGCAAAACTGTGTCGTCGATAGTTAAGGCACATACTTTCATTACTTGTACTGCTTCTTGTTTGCAATATAATAAGCTAAACTTTTGATTCAAATTTGAAGGTTTCATAGTAATATTTCTTAGAGTTTGTCCTTTAACATTTTCCTATATCACATTATTGTAGGTAGGAGAACTGGTCAACATTACAGTGGCAAAACAGAATTCAGAACTGTGCTTTGCAACATACTTCATTTAAAATTGTTCTATCCCCAATTTCTTCTTCCTTTGGTAAAGTTGAGATGGAGCTGTATGGTATACCAAAAAGTAACAGGGTTTAGAACAAAACAGGTCTGTATTTGAATCCTGGAAATACTACTTGTTACTGATTTTTTAATTCGTTAGTTATTTAAATAAATTTATGGAACAAATACATGGTTCTTAGACTATAGCATGTATCAGAATCGCCTGTGGACACTACCACAGAGTTTCTGATCGGTAAGTCTTCTGTTTGGCCCAAGAATTTGCATTTCTAATAAGTTCCCAAGTAATGATCATGGAAACTTCACTTTGAGAACCATTAGGATGAATTATATGTAATAAGTTAGGTTCAGATGATAGATTGTGAGCAGCTGGTTAACTATCAGAGTTTCTATATCTATAAATCTGAATAAAAATAATGGGAAGAAATTTGAAAGATTTTCTGTAAAGATTAGAGATATATAGATGGACCTGGCACTTAGTGGGCAGTCAATAAATGGTAGATATTATTCTCTAGTGTCAGATAGCCTTGGATTCAAGTTTGAGCTCTGCTAATTGCCAGTTGAATGATCCATTGTAAACTCCTTAACATTTATGTGGTTTCAATTTCATTTATTTCTGCTGTGATCTTTATTATTTCTTTTAATTTTGGATTTAGTTTGCTCTTGTTTTTCTAGTTATTTGAGATGCGTTATTAAGTAGTTAGTATCTAGCTTTTCTACTTTTTTGATGTAGGTGCTTATTGCTATAAACCTACCTGTTATTATGGCTTTTGCTGTATCTCATAGGTGTTGATATGTGGTGTTTTCATTTTCATTGGTTTTGAGAAAATTTTAAATTTCTTTCTCAATCTCTTCATTGACCCACTTGTTATTGAGGAGTATATTGTTTAATTTTCATGTATTTGTAGAGTTTCCAGTGTTTCTCTTTTAATGATTTCTAGTTTATTCCATTATGGGAAGAGAAAATACTTGGTATTATTTCTATTTTTAAAAAATGTTTTGTAACTTACTTTGTGATCACAAAATGGTCTATCCTTGAGAATGATCAATGAACTGAAGAAAACGATGTATATTGGGCGGCTGTTGTACAAAACATTTTGTAAATATCTATTGGTCCATTTGCTCAATAGTGTAGGGTAGGCCCAATGTTTCTTTGTTGATATTCTATCTATGTAATTTGTCCAATGCCGAAAGTGTAGTGTTTTTTAATTTTTTCTCATTTCCATCTGTCTCTTTTTATACTATCTATCAAAAGTTGAAGATAGCTTGAAGTTCACTGAGCATCTTCAGGAAAGCTACTTTCAATTCTTGGTCTGAAAGTTTATCTCCATTGCTCCAGGACTGGTTATTGATACCTTAGTTTGTTGGGTGAAGTTATGTTTTCCTGAGTGTTCATGATGCTCGTGGATATTCATCAATGTCTGGGTGTTGAAGAGTTAGGTATTTACTTTAATCTCCATAGGCTGGGCTTGTTGGAGTACCTGGAAAGCCTCCTCAAGAAGGACAGATTCAAAGAGAAGTGAGTGTTGTGATCTAAGTCTTTGGTCACTGCAGCCATATTCAGCACCGAGGGCGCCCCAAGTCCAGGAATGCTTTGACTCTTGCAGACTCCTGGTAGAACTGCCTTGGTGGACTTGGGTAAATTATAGGAGAATTCTTGGATTTCCAGGCAAAGTCTCTTACTCTCTTCCCTCACTCTCTGTGCTGGGCTGCTGCAGTTAGGGAAGGAGTGACATGGGTACTCACTTGTGGCCACTAGCACCAACTCCCACCTGAAGCCTGCCCAATCTCACCCAAAGCCAGTGGTGACTGTTGGTTGACTACCTGTGATGTTTATTGAAAACCCAACAGCTCTTTAGTCAGGAAGTGGTGAATCTGGCAGAACTGGTCCTTCCCTTCAGGGTAGCATGTTTCCTTCCATCTCAGGTTGAGTCCAGAAATACCTTCCAGGCTCTGAGGCCCAGACTCAGGGGCTTCAGGAGTCTTCTTGGTATTTTATTTTGCTATAGCTGAGTTACTACTCAAGTTGCAAAATGAAGTCCTTTGAAATTTTCCCTTTCTTTTCCCCAAGTTGAAGAGGACTCCCTGAGCCATATTGTCTGTAGTTTGGGGGGGAGGGGTCAGAGGTCATACAGGCACTGGCTTGGTTGCTACTACTGGTGCCTTATTGGTTCAGGTTTACCCCAAATCCAATGGCTTTGAACTAACATAACCAAAGGAACTGCCAAAGATTGCAGATTTTGTGGCCTTACTGTGTTACAAATTTAGTACAATATCCAGGCTGCCTTTGTCTCTCTGGTCAGGCTGGTCTAAATGTTCCCTTTGCGGGGCACTGGCAGAATTCTGCCCTGAGCTGTGCTCCCCTGTGCAAAGGCAGTTCTGTGTTTCAATGCAAAGAACCACAATCATTTCACTTTCCCTCCCCTGGGCACACAGATTCCCTCTGCACTTTGCATGCTAGTGTGACACTACTAGGGGATGGTGTAGTCAAGGTAAGGCTGTCTTTTCTGCCCTCTTTAGTGCCTCTTTTCCTTGATAGGTTTGATGGATTAAAACCTGATACTTTGATCACTCACTTGATTTTAGGTTCTTCTGAAGGTGTTTGCTTGCATGGATAGTTGTTGAATTTGCTGTTTGTATGGAGGGATAATTACTAGAGGTTTCTATTTGGCCACCTTTGTGACCTCTAAAACATCATTTGTAAAGTGAACTGAATTGTGTTGTCCTCTCCTCAATCATATGTGGAAGCTCTAGCCCCCATTCCCATGGTATTTGGAAATGGGGTCTTTGGGGGATAATTAAGGTTAGAGGAGATATGAGGATGGGGCCTTCACGATGGGGTTAATGCCATCATAAGAGGAGGTACCTAAGAGCTCCCACTCTCCCTCCTCCATACCAGGTGAGGACACAGTGAAAAGGTGGTCATCTGCAAGCCAGGAGAGGACCCCCACCAAGACCTAAATCAGTCAGCACCTTGATCTCAGACTTTCCAGTTCTAAGAACTGTGAAAAATGATTTCCTGTTATTTAAGCTGCCCATTTTATGGTATTTTGTTATGCCAGTCCTAGCTGATTAATGCAGTGGAGTTAATCTCAACCCTGTGAATTATTGATATAATGAGATGCTATGTGTATTCAGAATAGTACTGGTTACCTGTCGCAGGAGGTAGCTAGTAAGTGTTAGCATCATTATTCAATAAGAACAGTCATCACTGTCCTTCCTTCCTATTCTTTTGCAGGATTTCTCCTCATATTAACTTGGCTAAGAACTCTCTAAATCTGATGGTCAACTTATTGTGAATAAATGGATAGATAAATAGTGAGGGCTAATTCAAGTCATTGCCTTTCAACTCGTTGCTACAGATTAATTTCTGTCCCAGCAGCTCGTCTTTGGACCAGTACGTATTTATCTAAGAACAAAAATGGTATCAAACATCTTTCTGTGTTCAGCCTGTCCAAGAGAGTAAGCC